GCTAGAGTGAAGCTGCCTCTATTGGAATTCAGTCATCTTCATCCTGTCTCTATTTTTCAGTCATATCAAGACTAAACATACAGGCGCTTTTAGTTGCCATTTTAATTCCCGAGCCAGCGTAATCACTTATTTTCCTGAAAACGATCAATTCTTTTGAATCTCTATACGTGCAATTCCCTCGATGCTAGAGGACGTTCTCATATTCTTTTGTACATGATTCTTGATACAATCTCATTTTTCCAAACAACACCCTTAATTTCAGATTGGTTCTTCTTAAGATATGGTTGTTTATATGTTATGGTTGAGCACTCTAGAAATAGTATAGAAGACAATGATTGAGAAAACCTACATACTATATATAGCTTATTAAATTAAATATAAAATCTACTTGCTAGTTTTTCTTCTAATATTGACATATATATATTTAACTAACAAGAATCTTTTCTTTATTAAATCTTAAAAAATGCAAAGATTCAAGATTATTCTATTTTATTACACAACTTGTTATAGAATAGGAATATTGGAGTTAGTAGACTAAGTTTCAGAAATACTAGTACTAACAAGATATATATAAGTATATGAAAGTCATATATACTGGCAACCAACTAATGAATTAAACAAGCATATTAATAATTATGCAGTCAAATGTCTCTTTATTTAAATTTACGAGACACTTTTATTTTTGATCCGTTTCAGAAAGAATGTCATATTTCTAAATCTAAAAACAATTTACTTTACATTAGCAATTTTATGCTTAATGAGAAACGTTTATTATAATCACACAAATGTTTTAACATACTTAAGACCACAAATTTCGAAAGTCTCTTCATTTCTAATTTCTTAAACTCTGTAGCTATTCAAATAAAGTATTGTTTTCATGGGTGACAATTGACATAAGAGGGTAGTTGTGGAGTTCTCAAAGGTCAGACAAGCTCAATAATACTTTAAACAGTTGAAATAATACAAGCTAGCACGTTTTGTAATTATAGACTTCTTCAAGGAATTTCTCAAACTATAAATACTTCAATATGTTCATAAGTTATATATCCATCACTTGAGGAAAACCATATAGTGTCTTTTGAGTCTCAAAATTAACAATGGATTCCAAAGGCATCAATCTTTCACTTTTTGTTTGCCTCATTTTATCATTTTCGTCGTCTATTCTTGCCTATCGAACACCATATTGGCCATCGATTAAAGTAGGTTACTATAGATATACTTGCCCCTATGCCGAACACATTGTTCAAAATGTTGTAAACAGAGCTGTCTCTCTAAATCCAGGCATTGCTGCTGGCCTTATCAGGTTACATTTCCACGATTGCTTTGTCAGGGTACGTACAAATTTAATGCTAATATTTTTATTTTGTTAAAATGATGATTAAATTTTCTTATAACGGTTAACGTGTCCTGTACTTTAATTAGGGGTGTGATGCATCTGTGTTATTGGATGGACCAAACTCTGAGAAGGAAGGTATTCCCAACAAGAACAGTTTACGAGGTTTTGAGGTGATTGATGCTGCAAAAGCTGCACTTGAGGCTGCTTGCCCTGGAACTGTCTCGTGTGCAGACATCGTTGCCTTTGCTGCTCGGGACAGTTCCTACAAAGTTGGGAGAATATACTATGATGTCCAAGCAGGACGTCGTGATGGTCGTGTTTCTATTGACTCTGAAACATTGACTAATCTTCCTTCTCCTTTTGTCAATGCCACGGAACTCATCAAGAGTTTTGCAAGGAAAGGTATGTCTGTTGATGAAATGGTGACCCTTTCTGGCGCGCATTCCATTGGTATTGCACATTGCGGTGTTTTTGCTAGCCGTTTGTACCCTCAAAACAATCAACAAAATCTTCCAATTGATCCTGAATACGCGGACTTCTTGAAGTCCATTTGTCCACCAGAAGCACTTACAAATGGAACTGGAGCTGCTAATCCCGCAAACCTTGATGCCCTGACACCAAACAGGTTGGATAACAGATATTACTTGGCTTTAAAGAGTCAAAAGGGACTGATGATTTCAGATCAGGCATTGATGGCAAACCCGACAACTTCTAGATTGGTGAACTATAATGCTAGATTTGGTTCCCTTTGGTCTAGGAAGTTTGCAGCAGCAATGATTCACATGGGTACTTTGGATGTCCTCACAGGTCGAAATGGAGAGATCAGGAGGAACTGTCATTTCGTCAACTAACATCTCTATCATTTGCTTTTGAGAAAGTTTTCAGTATTCTTTCAACTTCTCCAGCCCTATTCAAACTATCCAATTGTTTTTGCTTGTTTTACTTCACATTGTTTGTCCAATTGTATTATTTTTTCCCCTAATGTTTGTCCAATTGATTGAAAGGAGTTTTCTGAATATATTTTATAAGTGGATAGTAAGAAAATACAGTTCCTTTAACCTCATTTGATAGGCTATCCTAATTGGATGTCAAAACACTATGAAATTGTTAGGCAAATAAGACATTCTGTTTACCAACACCATGATTCAAGTGTTCTTTCCTTCTTTGGAAGGCATTAAAATACAAACGAAACGAGAGAGTGAATTCCAATTGTTCCATCACATCTTCACATACTCGGCCTTTGCTGCTCGGGACAGTTCTTTCCTTCTTTGGAGGACAAGAACTATTATTCCAAAAAACTGTCAATCACAAATATCTTCAGTACTCGCAATTTTGTAACAACAACTGGAAGATGTTATCATTCAGGACTAGAATTAGTTCACTCTCTACTGGAATTCTTTGGTGTCTCAATGTTATGAATGGGGAATTGTTAAATATATTTGGGACCCTGGAAAGATGCCTATATACAGAAGAGGGAAATAATATATTCGGTGTTATGCCATGAAGTTGTCTCTTTATCTCTTAGTTGCTTAGATTGATTCAGTAACCTTCCTCCCATATTCCTTTCTGATAGTTTAGATGAGTGCACCATGTGCTATGGGACCGGGTCGCTGTTACACTTAAGTGCAGTAAAGGAAACTAAAAATACATAGTGAAAACAACAAGGAGTTTTACGTGGAAACCTCCTTTCTCGAGGGAGGAAAATCACGACCTGTCTAACGGAATTTTCCAACTGCCTTCACTATCTTCAAGCAACTAGTGAATACAGTATACAGACTCCAATCAAACGTACACAGATTAAATCCTGCAACCTGTATCACCCCTATTACAGAAAGACGAGCTGAAGCAATAGCTCTATTGCCCACTATATCAACTAACTCTAGTTAATATAGACTTCAATCACATATACTACACAGTTAACTCTAACTATGCTCATTGTTGGCTGAAATAATAAAGACACGATCTATTCCTTTATAGATTAGGAACGGATCTTACAAGTTGAAACACATAAGACACAATCTTTTAATCACAACAAACAAAACACTTGATAACTCTATCAGGTCCCTTGCAGTTCTTGGAAGCTTGTGTTATGCTTAAGAGAGACAAAAGACTACTTTTTCAATTGTGCTCAATTGTCTTAACTAGGTTGTTTCATGTCAATGAGGTTATATTATCCTCTGAACAAAACTTCCTAGTGTCCTCCCATTGGTTGAGGACATTGTCCTCTTTTCCCATGCTGGCAGTTTTACAGTTGTTCCCCGTTTCACAGAGATACATGCTCGACTCATTGGACCAGGTCCCATGGTTTGTGAAGATCATCAAAACAACAGAGTTACACTTTCCGTTTCTTTTTCTTCCCCGGAAGATTTGTTACTAGTTTGGAGTAATTGTAATGACGAACTCTTATATTTGTACGTGTAATTCCAATTGTTCATTTCAATACAATATGAGTTCATTACATCTCAACAATGGTTATACTAAAGTCCACTTGGAAACTGTTCACTTTTTGAAGAATTCAAAATAACTCATATACACTCTCTAAATGACTGTCATTTCAATTGTAGAACCAGTAATCACTTATTTTTCAGAAAAACATTTTCTATCGTATCAAACAACATCCTTAGTTGAGCACTCTGAAAATAGTATAGAAGACAATGATTGAGGGAACCTACATACTTTATATAGCTTATTATTAAATTATGCACTTTGCACGTATATACCAAAAGTATATAATCTACTTGATAGTTTTTCTTCTTATTTAAATCTTACCAAATGAAAAGAACCAAGATTATTCTATTTTATTACACTACTTGTAATAAAATAGGAAGATTGGAGTTTTTAGACTAATACTAACAAGATAAAATACAAGTATAGGGAAAGTCCTATGTAATGGCAACCAACTAATGAATAAAACAAGCTAATTCAATCTCCAAGTGGGGGTTTTTTTTTCTGGCTATCCTATTTGCAGTCAAATGTCTCTTTATTTCAATTTGTGAGACACTTTTATTTTCCATCCGTTCCAGAAAGAATGTCACATTTCTAGATCTAAAAACAATTTACTTTTTACAAGAAGAGGGAAGGGGAACCAAAGCATAAGACACATACATTCCAATCCTTGCAACTAAAAATTGCCTTCGCCGTATTTGATCCTTATAGAAGGTATTTGGCTCTTGTCTAGTTGGATTGGACCTTTAGCCTTATATGAAGTTGCTGTTAGGAGTTACAAAAAGACTCACTAGGGTCCGCGACTTTATTAGCTTCTCGACATATATATTTGCAATTTATGCTTAATGAAAAACTTCAATTATAATCACATAAATGTAATAACATTATTAAGGGTACAAATTCTAAAAGGTTTATAACATGTTTAAGACCACAAATTTTGAAAGTCTCTTCATTTCTACGTTTCTTAAACTCCATAGCGAATTAAATGAAGTACTGTTTATTTCATGGATGACAATTGGCATAAGATGGTAGTTGTACATGGAATTTTTGAAAGGTCAGACAAGCTCAAGAACAGTTCAAACAGTTGGTAATATACAACCTAGCACGTTTTGTAATTATAGACTTCTTCAAGAAATTCTCAAACTATAAATACATCAATTTGTTCCTAAGTTATATCCATCAACTGAGAAAATCCAATTACTAAGAAAACAGCATACTGTCTTTGAAATCTCAAATGGATTCCAAAGGCATAAATCTTGCACTTTTTGCTTGCCTCATTTTGTCATTTTCATCGTCTATTCTTGCTTATCGAACACCATATTGGCCATCAATTAAAGTAGGATACTATAGATATACTTGTCCCTATGCCGAAAACATTGTTCAGCATTTTGTAAACATAGCCATCTCTCGTAATCCAGGCATTGCTGCTGGCCTTATCAGGTTACATTTTCATGATTGCTTTGTCAGGGTACGTACAAATTTAATCTTAATATTTTTATTTTGTTAACTTGATGATTAGATTATCTTATAACGATAATGTGTCCTGTACTTTAATTAGGGGTGTGATGCATCTGTGTTATTGGATGGACCAAACTCCGAGAAGGAAGGTATTCCCAACAAGAACAGTTTAAGAGGTTTTGAGGTAATTGATGCTGCAAAAGCTGCACTTGAAGCTGCATGCCCTGGAGTCGTTTCGTGTGCAGATATAGTTGCATTTGCTGCTCGGGACAGTTCCTACAAAGTTGGGAGAATATACTATGATGTCCAAGCTGGACGTCGTGATGGTCGTGTTTCTATTGACTCTGAAACATTGACTAATCTTCCTTCTCCTTTTGTCAATGCCACGGAACTCATCAAGAGTTTTGCAAGGAAAGGTATGTCGGTTGATGAAATGGTGACTCTCTCTGGCGCGCATTCCATTGGTATTGCACATTGCGGTGTTTTTGCTAGCCGTTTGTACCCTCAAAACAATCAACAAAATCTTCCAATTGATCCTGAATACGCAGACTTCTTGAAGTCCATTTGTCCACCAGAAGCACTTACAAATGGGACGGGAGCTGCTAATCCCGCGAACCTTGATGCCCTGACACCAAACAGGTTGGATAACAGATACTACTTGGCTTTAAAGAGTCAAAAGGGACTTATGATTTCGGATCAGGCATTGATGGCAAACCCAACAACTGCTAGATTGGTGAACTACAATGCTAGATTTGGTTCCCTTTGGTCTAGGAAGTTTGCAGCAGCAATGATTCACATGGGTACTTTGGATGTCCTGACAGGTCGAAACGGAGAGATTAGGAGGAACTGTCATTTCGTGAACTAACATCTCTATCACTTGCCTTTGAGAAATTTTTCGGTATTATTTCAGCTTCTCCATCCTATTCAAGCTGCAAGGATGGTTCAATGCGTGTCCAATTGTTATTTTTTCTTCACATTGTTTGTTCAATTGAATTGTATTTGATTTCCCCCCAATGTTTGCCTAATTAATGATTGACATATATTTTTTTGAATAATTTTATAAATGATTCATGAAGTTCATATGTGTTATTGGAAAAAAAAAATAGCAGACCAGATAGAGTTTGTATAATTAGCTTCAACTACAGACATAAGATTACTAGTATAATTGTAATTACTCTTGCAAATCATGTATTGAAAATGGGGCGTCTAACCTGGTTCAACAACCTTCAAGATGTTCCTAAATGAGTGAACTAAGGAGGGTCAAAGTGCCATCCTGAGTTTTTCTTTGCCCTGATTCGAAAGGTAGGGATTTGCATCCTGTCAATCATTTTCATCATGTCCCCAGCTCCAGCTTTGCCTCAATTAGGTAAGTAGTTCCCGTCTGTAAGCTTCCATTCATTGTCTACTGGATTGGTTCACATTACCATGGTGCTTCTGAGTTGAGTTTGTAGGCTTCCGTGACAAGACAAACAATGTTCCAACTCCAACTACATTCCGTTGAACTAAATTTGTGCCCCAAGATTGTTTTGACTCGGAGTAGGACCTGATGAAGGATTCTGGATCTAGAGGTGTTGTTATTGCCATACTTCTCTAAAAAGTTGGAGTATTGATTGCTTGTGTCGATCCACTAAGTGTCTAAGAACAATCTACACATCTTAGCGTAAAGGAACACAAGATGTTTATCTGGAAACCTTCTTGCTCAAAGACGGAAATAATTTAGACTAATTGTAGGACTTCACCAACAACTCCACTAACACGAGACAAGATTCAGTTATTACAACCTTAATCCGTACCAAGTCCCTTTAGTAGGTTTGTTGATCATCAAAATCATCATTACTGCATTACAACAAGTATGTTTGTATCAAAAGATCAATCAAAAGGCTACAAGCTTCCATTAAAATAGATCATTAGGCGGAATACAATGATATTATCTCAAATTTATGAAAAAGGTTTCATTTAAATACCATAACTTAGATTTTGTACCTATATATTGAACATATATATTCAAGTAAAACTATGTTTATTGAATACATATTATTAACCTGTCATCGTGTGGTGTAATACAACAATTTTGAGCCTATTTTACCTATTTTTGTTAGCTTTTATGCTTTTTCCGATCTCTTCATCTTCTCTCAAATTTGTATATGCATCAAACTATTCCAGGAGATGGATCTTTTATAGCTTGAGATTGAACTTGTCTCAATGTTATACAAATCTGAATAACAATGTATGCTATGTTTGTTCAATTTCACATAGTTTAAGGACATTTTTGACCATTTTCTGTTTATAAAAAAATATTCAAAAAAAATCTTTCAGTCAATTGGACAAACATTGGGAGAAAATCAAATACAATTCAACTGAACAAACAATGTGAAGAAAAAAGCAAAACCAATTGGACGCGCATTAAACCATCCTTGCAGCTTGAATAGGATGGAGAAGTTGAAATAATACTCAATACCTTCTCAAAGGCAAAAGATAGAGAGGTTAGTTCACGAAATGACAGTTCTTCCTGATCTCTCCGTTTCGACCTGTCAGGACATCCAAAGTTCCCATGTGGATCATTGCAGCTGCAAACTTCCTTGACCAAATTGAACCAAATCTAGCATTGTAGTTCACCAATTTAGCTGTTGTCGGGTTTTCCAACAATGCCTGATCAGAAATCATAAGTCCCTTTTGACTCTTTAAAGCCAAGTAATATCTGTTATCCAACCTGTTTGGTGTCAGGGCATCAAGGCTCGCGGGATTAGCAGCTCCCGTCCCATTTGTAAGTGCTTCTGGTGGACAAATGGACTTCAAGAAGTCTGCGTATTCAGGATCAATTGGAAGATTTTGTTGATTGTTTTGAGGGTACAAACGGCTAGCAAAAACACCGCAATGTGCAATGCCAATAGAATGCGCACCAGAGAGGGTCACCATTTCATCAACAGACATACCTTTACTTGCAAAATTCTTGATGAGTTCCGAGGCATTGACAAAAGGAGAAGGAAGATTAGTCAATGTTTCAGAGTCAATAGAAACACGACCATCACGACGTCCTGCTTGGACATCATAGTATATTCTCCCAACTTTGAAAGAACTGTCCCGAGCAGCAAAGGCAACGATGTCTGCACACGAAACGACTCCAGGGCATGCAGCTTCAAGTGCAGCTTTTGCAGCATCAATTACCTCAAAACCTCTTAAACTGTTCTTGTTGGGAATACCTTCCTTCTCGGAGTTTGGTCCATCCAATAACACAGATGCATCACACCCCTAATTAAAGTACAGGACACATTATCGTTATAAGATAATCTAATCATCAAGTTAACAAAATAAAAATATTAAGATTAAATTTGTACGTACCCTGACAAAGCAATCATGAAAATGTAACCTGATAAGGCCAGCAGCAATGCCTGGATTACGAGAGACGGCTCTGTTTACAACATTTTGAACAATATGTTCGGCATAGGGACAAGTATATCTATAGTAACCTACTTTAATAGATGGCCAATATGGTGTTCGATAAGCAAGAATAGACGATGAAAATGATAAAATGAGGCAAGAAAAAAGTGCAAGAGCTGAAAGGTTGATGCCTTTGCAATCCATATTGATCTTTTCTTAATTAATTGGCTCTCTAATTAATCAAGTGATGGATATGATTTATGAACACATTGGGGGTATTTATAGTTTGAGAAATTCGTTGAAGGAACAATAATTGAAAACATGAGTACCTCTAATTTAGCACTAACTCTATAGCTGAAGTATTCTTAAGCTAATTGTCTGACCTTTGAAAAATTCCATAGTTATCAATTACTGTGAATGGAATGTAAGTAAGAGTGAAATTGTGCTCATAAGAGTCATAGGAATGGAAGATTAGTATTACTAATCTCTCCCTCCGTTCCAGGTTATGGGATAGAGTACTCTGAATCGACATGAAGTTTAAGAAAGAAATGCATACTTTTAGAAATATGTTTTTATTTAGAACAAACTAAAAACAAATTGTGTTACATAAACTGAAACGGAGGGAGTATTATTGTGCGTGAGAGAACCTAACTAAGGTAAATTTCTGTTTTTTTAATTTTCTTTTTTGAGTGCACAATATTTTGTGCCATAGTACTGGATTAAAAAAACCCCAACTTGTAGATTGAATTAGCTTGTTTATTTCATTAGTTGGTTGCCAGTATCTTTGTGCAATGCCCATTTGTTATATGTCAACTCATTATAATAGCTTTCTTATTTTGTAAATACAGGTTTGACTTCCTCATACATCTTGTTAGTCAACGTATTCTGAATTTTTTTATTAGTCACTTTAATTTGTCCACAAACTATTCTATAAACAAGAAATAATCTTGATTCTTCCCACTTTTAGCTTAAGAATGTTAGGATCGAAATAATTAGGTGTCATGCGGAAGCTAGCAAAGCAAATCTTGAAGGACCATGAGTAAGAAGACAAACGAGAAATGTACCAAAAGACACAAAGATTTAAAGTGGTTCGGTCAATCGACCTACATGCATCCACAAAGGAGATAAGCAATCCACTATATAAACATGAAAGTACAAAAGAAATAACCTCAACCAATTCACTTGGAATACAAGGAGGTTCACACAAGTGATAACATGTCACTTGTGTCCCACAAATTCTCCCCCTAACCAAAACTCTTGAAACTCTTAGGACTACATTGTGAATACTGATTAAGTTAGAAGGAATTGTTGCCTTGGCGATTCCCCTTTGTTTGACAGACAAGAAAAGACTATTTTAGAAAAATCTCTCATGCACATGCCCAGTACCAGCATGTATTTGAAAAGTTTCCTAAACAGTACAACGAGTGAGATTCATTTCAAAATATTCTGTCACTCCATTGTTCAGTTTCTCAATCTTCCTACGCATCCTTTCGTGCATCTGGACCCAGCATTTCTTCCTAGATCTAGAAATTAGAACGATAAGTTACTTGCAATTGAGTTTTGCATATCTTATGAGTTTAATAATACTCCCTCTATTTTAATCAAAGAATTTCATTTTATTCTCATAGATTCAAGTACGCTTCTATATCTAGATTAATTATTATTTTTATGATTTGACATGATAGATATAAAAAGATGATGCTCTTCTTTTAATTTTTGTTCCAGCATAAGCTGGATGAATCATTTATAAAAGAATTATTCAAAAAAAAGTATACTTTCGATTAATAAGACAAACATTGGGATAAAATATATAATTGAATCATACTTGCAAATAGAATAGCATGGATAAGTTGAAATAATACTGAAAACTTTCTCGAAGACAAAATATAGAAATGTTAAATAGTTTACGAAATGACTGATCAGGTTTTAATCCCTCATTTTGACATGTCAGGACATCCAAAGTATGCATGTGGCACAATATTATCAGTTTGCATATTTATCAAAGTAATACTATAACTAGAGTTCAGGTGTCATTCGGTGACATAAAAGACTTTTAAAAAGATCATTGTCATATGCATCGACATGTATTTGAACAGTTTTGTAACCATTACAAAGGCGTCTCAATAAAATTAGTGGCCTAAAAACAATTATAATAAGAGGTCCTTAAATATATAAACATATGCACAAAATATTAATTAATTTTGAATTTCCTTTTTTTGGTTCTTGTATACTACTTATGTTTAGTGCATACTCTTAAAAAGGCATTAAGCGTATAAATTTATATAATAATATTAATGTTTATAAGAGTAAGGATTAGTTCTATTTAATAAGAGGTTAGACATTTGTTTGTAGTATCACATTGGATATTGATGCGAAAACTTTATTTATTAATATGAAGATTTGAATTGCTTAATTAAAAATTCTAAAATACTCTTGATAAAAAGTATTTAGTTGCATTGTTCTTCCTTTTTCTTTTTTTCGTTTTATTTTTTTATAATGTTCAACATTGTTTCAAGTGAAACTAAAATCATTATATATATATATACTTGGTAATCCACGATATGCTAGTTGTATTCTTGTATCTGATAGCAGAGGTTTCAAGATACACTGTGAGTGAGTTTGCCAGTTTATGAATCTCTATAGGCATAATACATAAACGAGTCATTTAGCTTGGCCTCAGTTTTGG